GGGGGGGATCATGGAGTGGGGACGAATTGCCCCCTCCCTGCAGTGGGCGGGGCTAGCCAGGCCCGACTGATCTCCGTTTACACTGCTGGAAAGAGGAAGGCAATTCGCGTCTTCAATTATCAGCCTGGTGTTGGTTTACAAATGGAGAGATTTCGGTAAGGAGGTCTTCTCCGTACACTTTCGTCAGGTTGCCGTCTTCGATCTCTATGAGGGCCATAGGGCCATACTATCTCCGTCAGCGACGATAGGCAAACCCACGCGAACGCCTGTTTGCGGTACAGTAGGCAACAGTTGGCCGATTTTGATGAAATAACCCCGCGCATTTCAGTAGTTATACTGCACCATATGCACGCATGTGTGTGGGCGGCGTAGAGGAAAGTCGACGGGTGAGAGGAAGGAGGAGACGTGCGGGCGGGCTTGCCTATCGTCGCTCACCGAGGTACCTTACGGCGCCATGCGAGTATGCAAACTGCCCGCACCTCTATAAGAAAGAACGGCGCTGACGGTCCACCCTGTGGCCAAAGGTGCCATGGTCCCCGACCCCGACCGGTGTGAGTTAGGCAAACTCGCAAAATGGAGCGTATTCAAAGATACACCTAGTACGCCTAGCGCCGATACTGTACTTACCTGTGTCAGGGCAAAAATATTCCCCCCCCACCCCTTCCGCTCTTCACGGCTCTGCTTACCTACCCACAGTTTCCGCCTTTTTTACATTCACAAGTCACTAGTCGGAAAGCTATCCAAACAGCCGCAACTTTGTCCCTAAAATTGTCAACATGTGCCAAATAAAGCATTCCAGTAAAGCTGAAATGCAGAAGAATGCGGGGAAGAAGAAAACGGAAATCACTATGCTTTAACATGGTGACTTCCGTTTTCTTTTTCCCCGTATTCTTCTGCATTTCAGCTTTACCGGAATGCTTTATTGTCTTCCCTGCGCAACGACTCGCTCACACACGCCCCCGCCCCCGCCTGGGTGGCGAGGGTGCCTTTCTTCCCAACCGCCCCCGCCCTCCAAAAAAAAGGAGGCTGCTCCTGCTTGACCCACGTGTGGTGCGCGGTGTGCCATGTGGAGCCAGGGACGGCGGTGTCGAGGCCAACCGAGGGCAACTGTCATTTCTAGGAAGCAGGCGACTGTCATAGTGACGCTGGGGGACCGCCGGCAGCACCTGCAGCAACTGGCTGCACCCGGGGC